GGGCCCAGCCCTGCACTGGCCTGCCCGTGGGCCCGGCCCGGGGCTGCGCACGGCCCAGCAGCCGTCGGGGCCGGACGAGGAAGGAGCCGGGCTGTGCTCAGGACAAGGCGCGGCGTCGCCGTCTGTAGCTGAGGTCGGATATTCGGGGAAAAATGTTCTCCCCAGGAGGGGAGTTAAACACCGGAGTAAAACTGTGCTCCGCGTCTGCGGAGGTTTTTAAACCCGTCTTGGCTGCGAGGATTTGGTAGGGGCGGGCGGGCTTTTGGGCGGCGGGTTGGTCGTGGGGAGGGACCTGGCAGTGCCCCCCCGCGCTTGGGCTGGCCTGGAGGCGACGTCCGGGGTCCTTTCGGCCCCTGTGGTCTGGGTCTGTGGCCAGGCGGAGACCCGGACCCGCCTCCTTCTGGGCCCAGGCAGCCTCTCCGCCTGTGGCTCGGGGCGCCCCTGGATCGGTCACATAGCGGATTCCGGGATCCACTCGGGGCACCTGCAGCAGATTCGGGCTGCTCCTGGATTAACTCAGGGCACGCTTGGCAGGCTCAGGGCACCCCTGGATCGACTCGGGGCACCCCTGGATTTTGGTCATAGAGCATCCCTGCATTAACTCAGGGCAGTCTCAGTAGATGCACAGCACCCCTGAACTGGCTCGCAGCACCCTCAACAGACTCATGGCATCTCTGGATCGACTCGGGGCTCCCCTGGATCATAGAGAGCTTCCCTGGATCGACTCGGGGCACCCCTGGATCATAGAGAGCTTCCCTGGATTGTCTCGGGGCACCCCTGGATCATAGATAAAAAGCATCCCTGGATTGACTCGGGGCACTCGGCAGATTCAGGGTACCCCTGGATCTGCTCAGTGCACCCTCAGTAGACTCGGGGCACCCCTTGATTGACTCAGGGCACCCCTGGATCTTAGTCATAGAGCATCCCTGGATTAACTCGGGACAGTCTCAGTAGGTTCAGGGCACCCCTGGATCGACTTGGGTTATCCTTGACAGACACGTGGCAACCCTGGATTGGCTCGGGGCACTCTTGGCAGACTTGGGGCATCCTGGATCGACTCAGGGCATCCCTGGATCATAGACTAAGAGCTTCCCTGAATCGACTCAAAGTACTTGTGGATTAACTCCAGGCGCTCTTGGCAGACTCAGGGCACCCCTGGATCGACTAAGATTTTTTTTTTTTTTTTAAGAGGGGACCGACAGTTACCGGGGCATTGAAAGCTAGAACGGCACCATTATGACAGCCATGGAGATGCCCTGCTTCAGGGAGGAGGGTGCTGTTTCCCAGTTCAGTCTATGCCACATCATCCTGTGTGATTAACAGCGCTCCCCCCTGCCCTCGTTTTGAACCTTTGACCACCACTCCCATTCCTGTTTTGTTTCTTATTTGTCCCATGGATTCAGTTTACTCGCATCCAATAGCTCTTTCTATTAACGGGCAGGGCTAACAAGTGCTCTGTGGGCCTAAGACCCATGTTCCCAATGTGTGTGCAACAGGCCTGTGTAATAAGCAAGGTGCTTGAGGTGCGGGGGGAGCACAAGAAGGGTTTACAACTGGGTGTATGACGGATGGAAAGTTGGTCAGGATTCATTGTTAGCTCGATTTTACACTATGAGAGCAAGGGGTCACAACCTGAAAGAAGTCAGCAGGCAGTTTAAAACGAATACCAGGCCCTTCTTTTTTTATTCCTTAAAGGTTGGAAGTTGTTGCCACCAGAAGCTATGGACTTTGAGAATTTAGCCGAATTTAAAAAGGGGTTGGACACATGGTCCACAGAAAGGGTCATTGGTAGCTATTGAGCACGGGAGTGAGGGATGCAGCCTCTGAATCGGAGCATCCTAGATCTTAAATGCCAGAGGCTGCAAGTAAGAAGAATAGTGGAGAAAAAACCCGAGTCAGACCCATTTCCCTCTCTTTTTTTTTTTCCAGCATCCACTTTCTGCCACTGTGACACAGGCCTTTGCACAGAGAATATGAGTCAATGACCACCAAGTAAAACTGTAAGCCCCCACTAGTATGGGGGGCCACTAAATGCACATCAGGTGATTTACTAGGGACAAATAAGGAAGAAAACAGGAATGGGAGTGAAGACCAAAGGTTCAAAATGATTGCACCGAGGGGGGGTCACCAAGTAGAGTTCACTGGACGGTGCCCTGTGTAACACAGGAGACTGAACAAGATGGACCTAAGGCTGATGCAGTAAATGGCAGTTCTTATGTAAACCCTAATGTGTTTTTGAAACTAACTGGAAATAGTACTCTCCTTCTGGAAGAAGAGTTGTGCTTGTACAGTTTTGTCAGTGAGCTTCCTAAGAATTAGATATTCAGCCTCTCTTGAAATTCAGTGAAGATGATGGGCCTAAATCCCCTGAACTCATCTGACAATACCATCTTTAATCTCCCTTCCCTGCATTCCCATTTGCTGTCTCTACAATGATCTTGATAGTGCTTTCCTACCTAACCCTACCAAAGGCTTTAAAGGTCAGTTCTTTAACATTTGTCATTTGTTGGAGTCAATATAGGTGCTTAAAGTGGTTGAACTTGGTTCTACAGAGTAAATATGTAACATGGTCTGTGGTTTAAGTGCTATCCTTGGCATTTGCTTGGACTTCAGCAGAGTTTTTAATATATTCAAGATCACATTTAAATTGCAGCTAAAAGATTAAATGATTTCTTTGGTAGGTGAGATGGGTAGGCTGTGCCTCCAGCTGTATGTTTCTGTGATGTAATTTAGTAGGAAAGTAAAGACGCCGGCACTTTTTTACCCTCCTCCTTGTTCTACTGCAGTGAAATGAGTCATCATTCCTCTCAGACTCTCGGGCTCACTCAGCCAGCACACAGCAGTCTATGTTTTGGCAAAAATGAGTAAAAGTTTTCAGGGTGCATTTGATTTTATTCCACTACTATTGCTTTCTTTTGTGTTAAATAAACCACCTCTTTTCTGTCCGGCCTTATTTAAAAAAAAAAAAAAAAAAAAAAAATCCTAACTGTTGATACAAATGAATGTATCACTTCATTTGTATCGTGGTGCACTTGAATCAGAATATCGTATTAAAATGTAAAGCAGAAATCTCTTGGTCATGAAGGTAAAAAAGGACAATCTACCACTGAGTGAAGAGCGAGTGATTTCAAATATATACATAATTCCTTCCTGGAGGTAGGGGGAGACAACTCTTAAAAAAAAAAAAAAAAAAAAAAAAAAAAAAAAAAAAAAGAAACAGAAAGCTTTTGTCAATAACTGACACGTTGGTTTTAGAGGTAGAAAATAAAGGTGAAAAAAGAATGAAATGAGGGGGTTATCAGACCTGGCCATTCCCTGCCAAGGTGCAGACGGCATGTTAATACATCTCAATTTGAGCCAGCTTATTCAACTATTCACATGAAAGGAGGAAACGTTCTGTGTGTTAGGTTCATGATACACGCAGGTAACATTATGTGCTCCTGTGCAGAATGGTATGTAATTTCATTAAAGTTAATTGTCCAGCAGAACAAGTAAGAGACTATCAGCTAAGCTTTTGGAGAAGGCTGTAATTGGCTTATGTTTGTGATGGCCAAAGAGGGGGATTTGTGAAATGCCATTTCACAAATGGCATTTCCCATTGACTTGCAATCCCCAGTTATTGTATGGACTTGCAATCCATACAATATTTAGCTTATCTTCAGATTTAGACATTGATGCATCAGTTTTAAGATGAACACGCATTACTAGGGTCTTGGAAGGCTGGTGCAGTTTCCTGGGGGTCGGTTTTTGACCTCCCATTCTCAAAATGATAGGATCTTAGCAAGGGTATGATTTGGTAACCTTTGCTCCCGTTTCAGAAACAATAAACTCTTTGTCTGCTAAAATACCTTTTCCCCATATGAAAGAACATTCTCACTGTGAGTTGCGAATAAGATGCAATCTCTGGTTTTTAATTGTTAATATCGGATTCATATTTTTTATTGATTCTTTTTAAAAATATATTTAATCATAAAGAAAGGTGGCCAAGTATAAATCTGGTGTAAAGCTTATATATTCTCCTTTGTTTGCTTGCATTGCATAATGTTATATCTCAAGGTCTGAGTAATATATTTTTAGCACCATTAGAATACATGGGTAAGCTCTGTTACTCAGCAGTTGTTGGTGCTAAAATCCTGCAAATCTGTATACAAAACTTATAATAACGTCTGCCGTAAAGGTCATTTTCATTATTCTTCTGAAGAAGAGGTCAGGTGCAGTTAAAAGAAAACTTGTTTAATTAACTCCTTGTACTACATATGGGATGTAAACTAACATACGTTGCATGCATATGTCACGTGGCCATGCTTAGATTGATTCCAGTAGCTAAGACTTTACAGAGACATGCATCATTTTGGATTTTCCCATTCTATTTCTCTCTATTTAATAGTCAGATTTTTTGTTTTGAACGAATGCTAGTTTTAAGCGAAGTAGCTTTTTTCCAAACAATATATATGAGTCATTAAAGATATATTTTATATAGGACACTATGTACTGCACATGGGTTTTGGAAAGAAAGAATGGCAATAACTTAATCACATTCACATCTAAAAAATATTTTTAGAAGTAACATCTAATATTGCTGTAATGAAAGACTGGAGGAAAAACAGTGACTTCAGATATTGTTTCATTTTGTATTTGATCGCACTGGTATTTCCTTTCATAATAGTAAGCTTCCCTTGCTGTTTATAGGGGTCTTTCATGCAACAACAGGGGAGAGGATAACAAAAGAGAATATAATGACCCAAAAGGTCTGTGGAAAAGATGTAGTATCTGGGATGACATCTAACTCATCCCAGATATGATTCGTATATAGACGTGACTTAACTCATACTATGCAAGGGACTAGTTTTCAGTTTTAAATGGAATAAAATATTCAGCGTTTTGCTACATAACATAGTTTTCTGGGTCCCTCCAGTTACGTTCCCTTGACTGTAGAAGTTTGGAAATGAGGTGAGGAAGTACTGCTTCTGCTACAATTGGAAGTATATAACGATGGTACTAGTAAATATAATAACTGCTGCCACTCATTTTCTGGTTGGACCTTTTCAACTAAATTGCCAGCTTTTGGCTAATTCTACGGCAATGTGATTTCTTTCCAACAGCCGGAAGACGTTTTCTGTAGGAGTCAAACATCTGTTTTTTCCTGTTGACAAATATGAGGGTCATTTGCCTTTGGAATGACACATACTAGGGGCATTATGTAGTCTATTTTTCAAAAGCCTTTGATTTTTTTTCAAGGCAGCTTGTTACTTGTTTGTGATGTTCCTACACTACATTCTGTTTTGCTTGTTAGCAGAGAGCGAGGAAGAGGATGACACTGAAATGGAAGTTGAAGATCAAGATAGTAGAGAAGCTGAGAAGCCAAATATTATTAACTTTGACACCAGTTTGCCAACATCACATATGGTAGGTGGTTTTCTGCTTTCCGCAACGGAATAAACATACTTATGAAGTGATTTCAGTGTTGCTTTGATATATTTTCAGAGTCCAGTTTTTCAGGCCAAAACCTTTCATATGAAGCGTTTGCCCAATTTGTGGTATGCCCAAAGTTGGCTAATTGCAAGGTGATGGTTCTTTTCCTCATTCTTGGTTGCTAAATCATTATGTATTTTCCTTGTATTAATAATTAATTTCTGTCATTGCCACAAGGATCTTATGTGATTTCAAGTGCAATGGGTAGGTAGCACACACAATTGTGAATATGTACCTAGTGAGTTGAAGACCTCAGAGACCCTTTGTACTAGTGCGTTAGAACCACTTTTCAAAGTCATCGTTCCTTCATTTACCAGCGTTGCTTGTTCAGGAAAGTTGTAAGTTCCTCTGGGACCCTTTTTCACATTACATCTCCGAAATATCAAACCCAGGTGGTACAATTTTTTTTTTTTTTTTTTTACTTTCGGTTGACAGTATTTGGGTTCTGATATGGAAGAGTTTCATGGGAGAACGCTGCACGATGATGACAGCTGCCAGGTGATTCCAGTGTTGCCCCATGTGATGGTGATGTTAATCCCAGGACAAACATTGCCTCTTCAGCTTTTTCACCCGCAAGAGGTTAGCATGGTGCGGAATTTAATTCAGAAAGACAGAACCTTTGCTGTCCTTGCATACAGGTAAAATACTGGAGTGGATTTACTGATGGTATGCAGCACATGTTTTATCATTGATTTCTTTGGGCAGTAAGTCAAAAGTCGATGACTGAAGCACTTCTGCAGTAAATTACATGATTTAATGACTCGGAATTGTGGGATAAAAATCCAAGTTTAACTAATAATGAAAAGGTTTTATTTGGTAGTTTGTGATGATCATATGAAATTGCCCAGCAGAACTTTTTCACCATTGAACCAGTTTGGTCTTACAGATGTTGCGAGGTCATACAGGAGACCAGAGAAGATATTCTTAGACCATTACAGTTTTAAGAATTTTGGTGTGTTCATTACCAAAATTTTAAAGACTCAATTTTTTTTTATTTATCACATTGTGATGATAATATATATAAAAAATTTTTTGAGGATTATCTATGTGCGAAGTTGGAAACATTTTTTGCTGCATGATTTGCCAAGGTTATCTTCAAAATGAAAAGAGTACATTGTTTTCCTTTGCCAGTAATTCAGGTAGCTGAAAAGATTTCTTCAAATTTACTGTAAAAGTATTCATTATGAGACCGGTATGGATAATTTTGGCCCAGGAGGATGGTCGTGAGGCTTTTTTTCTGCCCTCACAGGAAATTGTAAATGAGTAAAAAATTAGTAAAATATTACTGAAGTTTTGAGGAATGCTGTAAGTTGATGGTTGGATAATGTTTTATCTTCTGCTCTTTTTTTAGTAACGTACGTGAAAGAGAAGCACATTTTGGAACAACAGCTGAAATATATGCCTACCGAGAAGAACAGGAGTTTGGAATTGAAACAGTTAAAGTGAAAGCAGTAGGAAGACAGAGGTTTAAGGTGCTTGAAATAAGAACCCAGTCAGATGGGTAAGAAAATACAGTTCTTCTCTGTGCACAGCAAATCCTTATTATTAGCAGCCCTTTTTACTGGGGAGGTAAAATAAACCTATAGCTCTGAATTTCTGAAGAAATCTACTCTTTCCAGGGCAAGATTTACCTATGCTGTTAAGTGTGTAGGAATAGCATTCGTGCAAGGAGTTGGACCAGACACTACTCAGAGGCACTGAATTATTTAGTTATTATAGATGATAATTGTAGGTGGGACTGGTAGTGTTAACCATAATTAAATGCTGTCCATTTTAAGATTTGGTTGTCGCTTATAACTTTGCTCTAAAATTCTTTATGAAGATTGTCTTCCTCAGGCTGAATTTTTCTGGAAAACTTGAGCTAGAGTCATTCATCTGAAAGACTGAAGATGAGGTTAAGGAAAACATGCTGACTTGCCTAAATTCTGATAACACATACTTTGAAAAGTTCTAGTAACCCTTTGCTTTGGCGCTGGGACTTGAACTTGAAGTATGCCCTTTTTGACATCTCTGTATCTTTTTGTTGTCCCCATAGAAACCTGTTCAAATTTGTCTGTTTCGAGCCTTTGAACATTATATTCCCTCCTTTCTCAGTAAGGACTTCTCAATTTTAGCAGCTAGTTTGTACCAGATTGGAGCCAAATATACACACTGTGCCAGATGAGTATTTAGCAGGATTCTTCTGTCAGTTGCAGCTCAGAACTGCGGTAAACCAGGGTTGTCCCCTGAAAATGAAAGCAGGAAGCTTGTCTTTCCTATCCTTTAAATGATTCTGCCTGATAAGTTTATTCAGTACAGAGGAGGAAGTTTCCTGACACAGAGGGGATGGTATTTGCACGAACGGGTGTTAGTTGGAGGAGTGGAGGGATAGACATTAAGGGCGTTTTTACATGTGCTCTGGAGGTGGAAGGGGGTGCTTTAATTAGAGTGGCTAAATAAAGCGCCCACATCATCTCGTGTATCGACGTCCCCGCGCATCAAAATGGTGGTGGGGGTGCTATAACTAAGGCACGTTTGATGAACTACAGTTGAAGTGCCCCCAACACCATTTTGAAGCATGGGGACACTGATACACGAAATCTGGAGCCTGGTGGAGCACAGTAATTAGAATGCTCTAGCAGACTTGATTAATTGAGTCTGCTTTGACATGCTATAATTACAGCACATTGGAGCAGCCTCCTTCCACATTTATAGGCACCCCAAGACCAAAGGCTGGTAATAGGGATTAAGGCACTGGGAAATCAAGTGTGAAACTTGGATTGGATGAGGAATGGAGTCTGGAAGCTTGCATACTGGGACTTGGAGCCAGTGGGCACTTGCTGACTGGGTCAGGGAGCCAAGGAAGGAAATGCTGAGGCATTGAGGAGCCAAGCTGCACAGTTGATCTGGGACTGGCAGAGCAAAAACCTTAAAGCAAGAAGTCAGGGGTAAATGTGAGATCCTGACACTGGACCAGGAGTATAGGGAAGGAGCAGCCAGCACTGCGTGTTACTGCGCCATGTACACTACGAACAGTTAAATTGCGCTGCTACGGTGCTATAGTGGCACACTGTACCAGGTGACAGTGTAGTATACCACATAGTATAGTATACCACTATACTATGGTGACAGCGTCCCCACACACTCCCCCAAATATCAAGCAGTCCCTGCTGGTGACAGCAGCAGCAGGCAAGAGCGCACAGGGCGCTCGTGCCTGGCACAGGTGGGGCACAATTCCAGCCAGCACTGCGTGTGGGGGTGAGGAGCGCAGCCTGCCCAGCCCACCTTTGTTGTGGGGGCTCCGTGCAGGGCGCCTGCAGCTCCCGCACTTGCACTGGGGAAGCCCCACGCTGGAGCTGGCTGCCATGCCCGGACTCTGCCGGGAGTAGAGGGAGCCCTGCCCCGTACTTCCCTGCGGAGTCCAGAGTGAGCTTCCCCTGGTGCGAGTGCGGGAACTGCAGGCATGTGGCGTGTAGTCCCCACAGTAGAGTAGGCCAGGCAGGCTGCAATTCTCACCCCCCTGTGCACAGTGCTGGCTGGAGTCACCTGCTGCGCAGGGCCTGTGCCAGGCATGAGCACCCTCAGCCCCCTGCCTGCTGTTGCTGCTGGCAGTGTGGGCACTTCACTGGGGGTGGTCCCATGACCCTCATCCTCCCTTGCACTCTACAAACCTCACACACGCACACCCTGCCTCCACAATCCCCACCAACATATACGCACACTGCAACATGCCCTATGCCTCGCCACACATCCTCACAACCCCCCACACACCTCCACACCCCACCATACACACACACACACACACCCCACCATACCCCCCCAACACTTCACCACATACACACACCCCCTACCACACCCCACACACAATATACAGTATTTTATTTTTGAGCTATTATGCCATCACCTCTCTTTAGACTGCACAAACACAAATCATGACAAAATATTTTTTGTAATAAAATACATTATAGTAGGTGTTTGACTTTTAGTGTATGATTTGCTTTTTTCTGGTTCTAAGATGGCAAGTCCCTCCTCCCAAAAAGTATGGGATGGGGGGGCAAGGAGGGGGACCCCCAATGGCAAATGTCGGAGGTTAGGGCGCGGGACTTCTGGTCCCAAGATGGCTATCCATGGGGTGGTACAACTGTCAAGGGGCAGGGCTGCCCTTACGGCCCTCAACATCTCACCAAAACTTGTTAAGTGTCCCTCCACCCAAAATAATTGCCTGCCTCTGATGTACGACCTTGACAGAGATGCATGGGTCAAGCTGAACAGACTGAGATCAGGATTCAGAGGCTTCAAAACAACACTTTATAAGATGAACATCTTGAACGGCCCTCTGTGTAAGCATTGTCCAACTAAGAGCACAGCATTTAATCAAAAGCTGTAATCTTTATAAATGTCCAGATGGGGTAGGTGGAATCTGCACATTGAGCGATAATAGCAGATGGTGGCTCATAGATTTGGAAGTTGATATCTGATGCCCTATAGAAGAAGACGAATGTTTACGAAGCCCTCAGCTGCTACAGTGATGAGAACCATGGAGAAACCGATTAGGAAATTAATTATTCCGATTTGAGAACAAGCTCTGAAAATACACAGTAAATTAAGATTTGGGACCAAACATTGTAAGATGAAGATAAAAAATACTGAATAGCTGCTCATGAAATGAGCATTATCTCTTCTGTGCACTGCGTACGGTAGCGGACTATCGTAATGCCTGTATGACCAAAAGTGTTGTATTAAGATTGTACAAACAGCCATAGTTCTGGAACTTCTTAATGCTGGAGTGTTCAACTTTGCAAAATTCTTAATTTTTTTTAGCATATTTGTTATGTGTAAGGATATAATTTATATTTGGGTATGCGTTTTAATTTTTTTGCTATAACCACATGTTACATTAGTTATTAAAAAACTGGATTTCTGCGCAGCAGTCAAAACCCAAGTATCTGATTATCCAAAATGGCAATTCTGCAATTATGTTATCACTTTCCAGTGGCTGTCACTGCTTTGTGGGGTGACCTTGTGTCAGTCGCTCCTTGATCTGTGCCTCATTTTCTCATTGTAATAAGGAGATAATGATGCTGACCTCTTCGTTAAAGCACTCGGATTAAAAGCTGGATGTAAGAGCTCACTATTGTTAGTATTTACATATTCCATTTTTGGACTCGGTGCATCCAGCCAAGAGTTTTAAAGTTTTTCATTAGATGTTTCTTTAAGTTTCTTGCCTCTTTTCTGCATCTTCGGACTCCTCCTCTGGCATATCGCAGAATTTTAATAGCAGTTAAACTGTCATGCTCTTGACTTTCAATTCAGAGATTCCAGATTAGGACTATATAATGCTCCTGATCAAATGGTTTAATTCAAGGTAAAGTAATGTAGCTTATACTGAAATGAGCATAGTAGAAGTAATAGGAGTTTGCTAAGAGCCACGTTTTATAAAGGCTTTATTTCTTTGATGTTATTATGTGGTGAGGGTTTATACCAGGGGCAGGCAAAATGCACCCCACAGGCAGCATGCAGCCTGTCAGGTGACTTCATCTGCTCTGCTGGCGGGTGCCTATCAGTTCACTGTATCCAGGCTGCCCCTGCTGTGCCTGAATGGGGCCAAGGCCCATTCACTCCCACAGGGGTAGTGCTCCTACTCTCACCCATGGGATGGTCATGGCCCTGACCCTGGCCTTGCAGGTAGAGAAGTGGTGGTGGGGGGAGGTGGTGGCGGTAGGAGGAAAAGGGACTGGGGAGCGGAGGGCGGGCAGGCAGGAAGGTAGGGAAGTGGCAGGGGAAGGGCAGGGAGCAGGGGAAGTGGTTGTGGTGGTGGGTGAAAGCAAAGCAGCAGCAGGGTAGGAGCGCAAGGCCCGTGCTGGTCCCCCGGGGCTGGGACCAGGCTGGTTGGGCAGCAGAAGCGTAGGCCAGCTGGAGCGTGGGGTCTGTCTGGCTCCATCGCATGGGTCTCAGATGCAGTTCCTGGGTTCTCCACCCAAGCTTCACGCCCTTGGGGGCAGCCCAGTCCCGCTTATTGCTACATGCAGGTAATGGGGAATGGCATGGAGCTCCGTGCTGTGCCGACTCTGCACTTGACCCTGCTGAGCCCCATGATCTGCATCACCATCTTCATCACGCGGTGCTTCCCCCAGCGGTGCAGGGCTTGGGCATGTGAGCCCCACAGGATGGAGCCAGTGGCCCAGCCATGTGTAATCCTGGGACTTCCTAGGACTGTGCGCTACCGGGGGACTCTACCTGCTGGTGCCGCTGGCGGCGGAGTCTGTGCGCAATGGGAGATATGTTTGTATGGGGGTCCCAGACAACCATACACCCGCAGCCCCCCACAAACCCTATACCCACCCACCCATACTCCACATGCACACACACCTACCTGCTTTCACCCACCCGTATTCCCCCACACCCCTCCACGATATACAAGAGTAAGACTTCATTTTGAACTATTATGCAAGCTCCTCTATATACACAACACAAATGCACACAAATCGGGACAAAAATATTTTTTGAAATAAAATTAAAATA